CACATACACATGACATTCATTAAAACAACGAAAGAATTGTTTTTTTTCATGATAGAATTATGGAGAAGGTGCTTTAAACTGAAATTCACAAATGATGATTGTTAAACAACCACCATTAGAAACCTGGAAGCACTGAAAAACGGCCTTCTCACATAAACAAGTTCATCTTTTCGCTTTTCGGGTTTGAACTGGTAATTCCATCTTTTTGTGATACTAATGTGACGGTAGTATGGCAACTCGCCGGAATCGAACCAAGGACCTTCGATTTCGAGCGCAGACACTTAACTTCTCCATACCATTGAGCCAGCATCCAACAGTGTTAATGTCTAACTCAGATCAATCTAAGATTCTACATAACCTCATCCATTGTCTTCGGTAGATATTGACTACACCCGACAGAGTTGAACTCCACAGCTTCTCACTAAAAACACTGAGAATTTCCTCATGAAGCTAATCCCCAGTAAGTACATGTTATGATTTGGCATTTTAGAATTATAGAGATGGTTGGTTGTTTTACAATGAAAGCATGAATGGAGTAGCAGGAGTCATAGTGTGGTGTGTGCTACTTATACGAACGATATAAGTAGTATAAGAAGGGACGTGAAAGAAGAAGTCTCACGGTCGGAAGAGGAAAACGGAAAACAAATGGAGCAAAAGCAAGAAGTAAATGGAGTACCAACAGGAAGGAAAGGAAGCAACAACAGGAATGGAAGAAGGATGGAGTGTTGAAAGTCACGACTCATAGATGGTGTGCAAATAGAGTGTTCAATGTAATGTTTTCGTTTTTAATTGACTAAGAGTGTAAATTTGCATAATACAATCTTTCGCGCATGCCTCAGTCTTCTCAATAGATGCTCACTGCTCACTGATGAGTAGTCCCACACCAGGACAAAACGACCGCCTTTCTGGTGCTTCCACGTTTAGCATGCTTGTCAGACAATGATTCATTCATAATTTCAATGAAAGAATAGTTAATGTGTAGGGTTCGTGACTTTGTACGCTTGAAGCTATTACGAGTTTACCTTAGTCAATAAACGCGAACGAGACAATGAACCAGCGTCCAAATAGGCTACCTTGAATCCCAAGCTGAAGATAAAAGGCTTTGTAAGCGTAGAAAGTATTATTCTACAAACACCCAGCAATCACACAATACAATCAAGCATACAACTCTCGTTTATTTATACATCATAGAAACGTCCTTGGGACAGTTACAAAAAACAGCACACTAAAATACACAACAGCAGCCAATCACAGCCATGGATTTTCCTGGTTTGTTGGAAATGAAATCTCAAGGTCAACTGATCAGCCTCTGCTGGCAAACGTGAAATCCACAAAAATAAGGCATTTTTTAACAAGCGAGTTTTGGGTATCTAACATCCCCCAACATAATGACCATTAAATAAATGTTTATGAAGTGTTTATGTGTCAAATTCAATCAACAAAAAACTGATAAATAAATAAAATTATCAAAGATAAACAAACACCCAATCAATGCGAATGACAATGACTATACAAAATTGCATTCACCAACAATGAAAATTGATCGATCAATCAATCAATCAATCAATCAATCAATGAATCATAAACAAGACGATCGATCATATTGGCATTTCTTTCCACCTAAAACTGACCCAAGTCAATCTAAACAAAACATACAAGGCAGATAAAAAAAAAACTCACTGCGTATAACCAAATCTGTGATTGATGAAGCTAGATTGAAATAATTGGTCAATTGTTAAAAAGATGATTACAAGTGACAGAAGGATGAAGAGAAGAGGGGAATAAACACACTCATTAGAAGAAGGTATCTGTTGAAGTTTTACTTGTACACCATTGGATTCTGGTTGGTCTAGTGGTTTAGAGATTAGGCGTGAGAACAAAAGGTCATGGGACTGACTGATTCTCGTTTGAATGAGATCAAGGGTGTGCACTGTTGAAGAGTCATATACTAGGACAGAACAACCTATCAGTGACTCCAGTTACTCAATGGTTGTTTAACTTTGATTGGTGATTTTAATGAAACTCATTAGACATAGCTGATGATCTCATTACGGATTAACGTCAGTTGGAGTACCAGTGAAAAACAGAGGAGCACTGGATATCTATTTTAATCCAAGATATAGGACTCTTCAAAAGAGTAACATCATTACTTTCTTCAGTGTCAGTCAGATTTTGACCAATTTGGTCTCGTGTGCTGTTACGGGTATGAGAGGGCGGTTGTCACTTCCCGGCTGCCCACACCATGGAAGGTCGTTTCTTGAGGGACCTGCAAAGGAAGGTAGATTAGTATTGGTCTTGGAGACCTGGGTGTGTGACCGCAGAGCTCAAAGGACAACTGCTTGAGGCTGGTCCCGCACGGCCTTTTTATTAAAGGTTTGTTGAGTGTTAGCTCCGTTCTTAAAAGCCCTTAGTTAGCACCCTTACCGCCGGACACGGAAATTCGTGATGTAATGTAAGGTGTAATATTTTTAGGGTTGACCTTTTCCAACTACTTCCTTCGATTGTGAAAATGCACCAACTGAAACACCTTACTGTTTCTGTCACACCCCTCTGCAGTTGACAGTAGGACTTCACCCTCAGACCTTGAGTAGTTGCTTTTAGTCTCATCGTTCTCCATTGGACCTGCCTGGCATGGTAGAACACCTTCAGGAACATATGTTCCAGCCAATATAGCTCGGCTGGGTCATGACGATGGGCAAGCCCGATCACCACGTCAAGGTAGCAGCTACGGTCGGGACTTTCTTCAGTGATTGAATCAAGAACCTTCACGTTGTCTAGTGTTTATTACTTACCAATGGTAGTCGAATTGAATTTAATCCATGACGAAAACTTGCCTAGAAATTATATTCGTTTTATGATAAAACAAACGTAAAGGGAAAAGTAAGATCCTGTGATACAACACAACAAGCATAAACCAAATCAAACTTGACGGAGCAGCTTTGAAAGATGCAGAAACCTTTACATATATATCTCGGCAGCAGCAATGATGAGCAATGTCAGTTTGATGCAGATGTAAAGACTTGGATGAACACAGCAAAAGGAGTATTTCTTCAAATGAAGAACATCTGCAATTCAAAAGAACTATCGATACACACACCAAACTCATAACTTTCAATACAAATGTCAAGACAGATCTACTGTATGTAAGGGGAAACTTGGAGAACCACGAAAGCCACCATCTGGAGGATACATTGTATTTAGAAACAGATATCTACGAAAGATACTGAGGACACAATCAGCAACAACCTACTTTGGGAGAGGACAAACCAGATTCCAGAAGATGAATAAATCAGCAAGAATCACTGGAGGATCGGGTCGGACACACATTAAAGAAGGCAACCAACTGCATCACAAGGCAAGCCCCCAATTGGAATCCTCAAGGCTAAACACACGCCGAGAATCGGAATCACACATGAAAAGAATGAACAACAATTGGACAGAATTGGAAAGGGAGACACACAGGACAGATTAGGTTGGGAGAACGCTGGTCGGCAGTTTATGCTCCATTACAGGTAACAGACATAACTAAGCAAGCAAGTAAGTCTCCAGAGAATGAAACGAGCATAAAAAACTATGCTTTCCACAATAGTATCAGTTGGAAGAATCAGAGAAGACATAAGAAGCTGAATATACATAAAGTACAATCATAAATAGTAATGATGATGATGATGATCTCAATGGACTCACCTCTTCGACTCATACGTAAACGTGTTTTTGCTACTAATCCCATTGTATTTGTGCCAGTATAATGATTATGATTTGTGTTTGTAGTCAGTGTTTGTTGATCACGGCTAGTAGTAGATAAATCATTGTTGACAGTTGGTTTTAAAATTCCTGATGGTATACACCCGACAAGACCAGTACGTAAATTTACTACTTTCCATATATTACTACTTCTATATAACAGAGAGAGAGAGAGAGAAAAGTAAAGACATGAAGAAGAAAAAAGGTGTTTGTTAAAAAAAATAGTGTTATATAAGGGTTTTTATAGCAAAGCATTTTATCCTTCAAAATAATGACATTGGAATCTGATAGATTGTATTTCTGATGTCACTAAATTTGTGATAAAGTATGTTGTCAGTGTCAGCTACAACAACGTAGGAGTACTTTCGTACGTGCATACATTGACGTTACCAAACCACATTAGCACAGAGATGCTATTGCCAATTCAAATCCCATAGTAGTATAGAGGTGGTAGAAGTAGTACCGGTAATGAAGAAGATTAGGATTTGAGAGAACACAAAGGAATGAACACATCTGTTCCATTGCAGACGATTATCAGCCATGTCATTCAAGGTCTCTAAACATTGATTACTAGATTCTCGCGAACCCCAACCAAGTAGTCTACACCTACCAATATGGAATAATCTAGTTGTCAATGACTGCATTGATTTGTGCCATGTTTTGGTCTGTCTGCCCTTATCTTTCTTCTAACCTATCTCTACGCCACAAAACATCGTTTGTTGGAGCAGTCGGTCGCTGGGCATTCGTAATACATGTCCCAACCACCTCATCTGATGGAGTTTTAATGCCTCATCTATTGATTTACCAACCTTGCCTACACCTTGCATACCTCGCCTACACCATTATTGACACTAGTTGATAAAAAGCCAGTCGAGCCTTTCGTATCTGTGCTGAGATTTATTCAGACATCAGGCCATCAGCACTGATGTGACTCTCCAGATAAGTGAAGCGTCCAACACACTCAAATACTTCACTCCCGATCACGAGTTCAGCGTTGTCACTGACGGATCTATCTCACTTTTAATATAACTAAATTAGCATTACAGGGCGTTTTTGCGGGATGAGTTTAATAGAACTCATGAATACAACGACAATTATCATGTGCCCACTAGTAACTAGCTTAGTGAGGAAATTCTCGGAGTTCCAGTGAGAACCGTGATCAGTGGAGTTTAGACCTACTGGGTGTGAGGTAGTTAATTACCCACATAAGAAATGGATGAGCTCAGGCAATATGGTGCAATCATTGAAGTTAGTCATTGAAACTGCTGGATGCCAACACAATGTTCTACAGGTTAAGCTCTTCAAGCCAGTCAGCGGTCTGCTGGGAATACATAACACATGTCCCAACCATCTCATGACTGATGAAGTTTCAATACATCATCTATTGATCTGTTAGTCAGTCAGTTGCAACGTAGAACTTCGTACGTATGTACATAAGTTCATGTTGCCATAACACATTAGCACAGAGACGCAAATGTCAAATCAAATCCCATAGTGATAAAGATAGTAGAGGTATTAATGGTAATGAAGAAGACTAGGGTTTGAAGATATTATTCAAGAAGCTGCTACCTTGACGTGGTGGTCGGGCTTGCTTATCGTGATGACCCAACCAAGCTATACTGGCTGGAATATATGTTCCTGAAGGTTCTCTACCATGTCAGGCAGGTCGATTGGAGAACGACCAGACTAAAAGCAGCTACTCAACGTCTGAGGGCGAAGTCGTACTGCTGACTGCAAAGGGGTGTGACAGCAGCAAGGTGTTTCCCTCAGACAACCAGCATCTGCAGCGATGCTGCCTTCTCACAAGGAAGGAAGGGTTAGAAAAGGTCGACCATAAAAATGTCTCACCTCACCTTACTCCATAGATTTCTGTCTGCGTCGTAAGGACTCCTGAATAACGGAGCTAACACCGGCTTCAAGCAGTTGTCCCTTGGGCACTGCGGTCACGCAACTAGGTCTCTAAGACCAACTATAATCTACCCGCCTTTTCAGGTCCCTCAAGAAACAACCTTCCACGGTGTGAGCAGCCGGGAAGTGACAACCGCCCCCTCATACCCGTAACAGCACACTTGACCAAATCGGTCAAAATCAAATTGATCTGTTAATTTGACCTAGTATCCTTTCCTTAAAACCAGCAGTGTGTTGCAGCTGTTTTATGCAATGAATGTTAAGTCAATTTGAAACTAATGATTATACCATTGCTACCGCTAATTTGTTGAACAACAAAAAGCATACGATGGTATTTTTTTTCCGAAAAAAAAATGAAACTTGCTTAATTGTTAAAAAACAGACAGACAGAAGTTACACTTTAACAAAAAGTATTAAATTATTTACCAATTTGTAATCGTGTATTATCAAATTACACTTTGAACAGTAATAACAATTTCTTAGTAATTATGAATATTTTTTTTAAAAAAATAAGCAATTTGTAAAGTATTTTTAACAGTAAAAAATCAAACTTTAGATTGATCAAAAGTTAGACACTAAACACCGTTGGATGATGATGGCTTAGCAGTAGTGGTCTAGAGGTTAGGCGTTTGCGTGCACGAGACCGAAAGTCCAAAGTTCGAGTCCTATGAGTAGCTGAGCTGCAATCGTGGATGCGCACAGCCATTTTGATAAGTAGTCTCATAAACTAAGATGAACCGGCCGTCTTACTTCAGTGCTTTCAGGTTTTAAATAGTTGTCTAACAATGATTGATTGATTGAGGATTTCAATGTAAAAAATCGTAGTATACATTAGTGAAAAAAAGTCAAAACAAACCTTTTGCCAAGTACACAAACTGTTTCATTTGCTCTAATATACAATGGACGACCTAATGAACGTGTTCCATATGGATGAAAACCAGGATTATTATGTGGGAATTCATCAGCAGCTGTTGATGTTGTTGTACTAATTGTATCCGAATTTGAATCTGTCTGATCAGGATGATATTCACTGGTAGTGATCCAAATTTCAGGGCTAAGACGTGGAAGCATACCTTATTTGTAAAGAAAATACAAACATAAGTATTTCAATAGATAGGTTATTGAAAGCAGAAAGATTCCGGCTAGAGTACTTCTAGGGGTTACTACCGGTGCAAAGCAGGCCGAATAAAGGAGGGTTAGGCCTGGGGGTTAGTGACTCCATCTCCGGTAGGAAACCAACTCGCTAGAAAAATCGCTAACCAGAAAAATAACTCTTTGGTCGGCGACTTATGCTCCATTAAGGGTAAGGGGCGTAATTAAGTTAGAAACTAGAGCAGTAATTTACTCATTCAAACACATTACTGTTGAGGAATAGGGACAGCTAAGTATTTATGGGAGACATTGACTCTATGTGTGATTTGAGATGCTATCCAGGTGAGAAAAACGAAACAACAGGTGGTTTTCTCACGAGATCACTGCCTCAGCCTTTCACCTAAAGTTCTTATCCACAAGACAATTGAACAACGTCAGGAGATGTAGTCCCATGGTAGCCGGTGACCAACAACAGTTTAATACACCATTTGCCCCATCAGGATCCTGAAACCTATGTGAATAATTGGTTTGGAATTAGAGTTTTCCAAATTTTCTAGATGGACCCTACATACCTCCTATTCGATAAAGAACAACCATACCATGAGAAGACAGTGAGTAGAAATGCCCCGGCAGTGGCGATTTATCCGTAGCCATATGTGAGTATTTGGAAATGTAGAACACATCCTACTCACATTGAACATCATCAGGATATTTTAATAGTTCCAAACTAATTCAATTGTTATGACAGTTAAAACTCATAATTATCTTTCGAATTGGAGTTAAACATTACAAGAAAACAGTGATTATTTGAGAACACCTTTGCATCAGTCAGTGGTAGATTTCACTAGCTATATATAGTACTACTGTGGTGTACGCTACTTATGTTCACATAAGTAGTATATCATATCAAACGGAAATCAAACGTCTGACAGCAAAAGATCGAGAACGAAGGAATGAGAAAAGAAGGCGATTTGTAGGTAACGTAAAGTTAACTGAAGTCTGAACAATCTTAATCAAAGAACACTTAAATCTGAAACAAATAAGGATTAGTTTGCAAATGATGATTTCACGGGAAGGTTTTGTACATATGCTTAACAACTCTGTAATACTCGTTTAAATATAGATGTTGATGCCCTCACCTGAGTTTTCGTGCACTACACTACTACTAATAACAATAATAGTAGTCGTTGTAAGCGTAATGCTGCTACATAAGATTGATAATGCTTTATAAAGTCAACAATCAGATGTTTGAGTGATTACCACAAGTATGATAAAAAAAAACTTGAAACGAATTAACTCCAGTTCTACGGGTTCTAATTAGTCTGTAATTGATGGTATTTATCAGCGATTTGAAACATTAAAAACCAAAAGCATTATTCACATAATTCAGTGTGCACAATTCTATCTCATATGGTAGATATCAATAAACAACCAATGAGAACACTATTAACGACTTCATAACAGATTATTAATATGGAAAGAGCCAATCAGAAGTGGCCAAACGAGAAAGTCTCTCGACGAATCATTAACGTCCTAAAGGATGGTTGTATATGATTGGTCAAGAAATGAATTCATTTTCTAAGCCGATGGAATATATATGTTTATAAACAAATATTTATGTATATTATTCGATATTCAGATAGACTTTCTCTACGGTTATTGCCTTTTAGCTCAAAAGTAATTTGATGTGTATCATGTCCAAATATGAGGACATAAGCCACATTCGCCAACAAATTATCTATCAGCTTACACACATACACATTCAATCCAGTGACTATTATTCATGATAGTAATTATGTCCGGTAATTAGCATGCACAGATGCAATAAGTAAGGTGGTGCATCAAATCAACAAAGCAAAGATTAGAGAGAGTATGGTTCAACTATGATTTTCTACAAATCATACCATAGGCAAACGGGAAAATAAAAACGAACCTAAATTACAAAAAATAAACAAATACACCAGAATACTAGTATAATAGAAAGATAATTTTGTAATTACAAGTTCTAATAATCGACTTTTGATCAAGTGTTCATTATAAAAGTGTTTGTGCAATTTCTTTCTGCATGATGGAATTGTGGAGGAAATTCTCGGAGTTCTAGTTGAGAAAATGTGACCAATGGAGTTCAACCCTGTCGGGTGTAGGCAGTAACTACCAAAGACAAATGGGTGAGGTCGCGCAGAATCCAGTAGATCAATCAGAGTTAGACATTAACACCGTTGAATGCCGGGCCCAGTGGTCTGATGGTTAGGCGTTCGCGCACAATACCGAAGGTCCCGGGTTCCGATCCTGCGAGGTGCAGGAGTCGTGGATGAGCACTGACATTGATGAATCCCATACCAGGACGAAACGGCCGTCCAGTGCTTCCAGGTTTCTAATGGTGGTCTAACAATGATTGATTGATGATTTCAAATGTGTAAAAAAGAATACAAACCTCCAAAAGTCTGCCCCAAAAGAGATTAATTAAGTTACGTTTTGAAATCATGAATTGATCATCAATATGAGACCACCAAAACCTCACCCACTGTCTTCGGCGAGCTCTGCGCAAGACCATGGATTGATCAAAGTTAGACATTAACACCGTAAGGTACCTACTCAGTGGTTGAGAAGTTAGGCATTGACGCAGTCCCACATTTGAATCCTCCAGAATTGCGACAGTCATGGATGCGCACTGCTGATGAGTATCATATCCGGAGGAAACGGCCATCCAGTACTTCTAGGCTTTTGATGCTGGTCTAACATTGAACGATTCATGATTTCGATCTCCACAACCCTCTATCATGCAAATCTTCGCCGTCCCTAGCTTCCTGCCAACCCACTGCCACACCACAAAACATAGCTCATCGAGGCAGTCGTTGGTTAGGCGTACGTAACACATGTTTTTAGTCACTTCAACTGATGAAGTATTACTATTTCAACTGTTGATGTGTCATTCTTACCTAGTACTCTTTTCCTAACAATTGCATTGCTTACTGCATAGTCCCAGGATGTACGACCAATGCTTCGGAGACACATACGATCGAATACTATTAGACTACAAATATCCTCTATTCTTACTGGTTATGTTTCACACCCATATAGTCAGACAAAATGAACTGCTTCTCAGTACACTTATCCTTTGTTTAGCAAACGGATATACCTGGCCTAATTATAGACAAATCAGAATAAAGAACGATCCAATGTCTAAATTCAAAATGATCCTTTAACAAAATCTCTCCCCTTCTCTCTGAAAATTCATTATTGTTAAAAATATATTATTCACTTATTCCTTCCTATCTGTTCGTGTCAACTTAACCTACTAATTAAAACAAGAGTAAAACTTAGAATACGGAAAAAAAATGAGTAATTTATTTAATCAGCTGTTGTTAGTCATCAACACGACAACAATATTATATATAAACTGGAGATAATCACTATTAAGTTCAATGTACAATTTTTATCAATGAGTAATTTTAAACAAACGTAAATGAAACTACATATATATAATTGAACAATCTCAAGGTGAGGCCTTTTTTCTCAAAACAAAATTTAACTGACATATCAAGGTTGTGTTTGTATGATGATGATGATGATGATTAATAAGAGGGATGAAGGAGGAGTGGATGTGAGAACAAACTCTAGTATCAGAAAAAAATGAGTAAGAGAGAGATAACGCCCACATATTGAACAGTTAGTTAGTTAGTTAGACTGTTTTGATTACTCATATCTACTATCAATTTTACATAGTTGTGTATTGCTTGTGAGTTAGTGTGATTGGTTATCACGACAGTACATAATACATCGCGAATCTTAAATCGATTGACCAATCAGAGGATGTGGCTATTACAAGTTGTATTTTATTAACTGAACTTATAGATTGTATGCGGTAGAGGAATTAAGACTTGACCTTGTCAATCGTCTTGGGTAGAAGAAGAAGAACCGCCTGAATGTTTGGCAGTAACACCACCTTGGACAATTGTAACATCACCAAGAAGCTCATTTAACTCTTCATTGTTGCGGATAGCTAGTTATAAGTGTCTTGAGATGATGCGAGTCATCTTATTATCATGAGCAGCACTACCAGCCAATTCTAGAACTGCAGTCACATATACTGGAGCACCAGCACCAACACGCTCGGCATAATTGCCTTTACGAAGAAGACAATGGACACGATCAACCGGGAACTGGAGACCAGCATGCGCTGACCTGGTCTTAGCCTTATTACGAACTTTACCACGACCACTCATATTGACAGAAGTAGAGAACCGTGTATGTGGGGTAGTATGAGAATAAGTCATATCACTTACAAAATCGTAGCAACCTATTACCAGATCCAGGTGGTATACTGGACGAGCAGTACACAACACATAACACACACACATACAATGCTTAGAAGCATTGCTCGTGTATCGTGTGATAACCGAGTGAGCAATGCTTTCATTAAGAAACGATTTCTAGGTACAGATGGCAGATCAATTGATGAAATATTGAAACTTCATCAGTTCAGGGTGGTTGGGACATATGTTACGAATGCCCAACCACCGACTGCATCGACCAGCTACGTTTTGAGATGTAGGAGTAGGGTTAGGAGAAAGCTAGGGGAGGCCAAACCAAAATATGGCAGAAATCCATGAAGTCATTGACAAGTGGACTGAGTCATATTGACGTTAACAATATCACTATAGATTAATGTGGGTAATTTTTACAAAAGTAATTCATTAGTCAATTAATTACCTATATCCACATACCTTTGCATTACTCCCCAAATCACAAGCTAATTGAAGCTTATTTTACATTGAAATAACTGAAAGTTTTCAGTCAGTGAGTGACAAAGTAGAATTCCCTATACACGTGTACATCAGTTAAACAGAATGAAGGACTTCGTAGACGCCCAACTTCGAGATCAACAGGCCGGATTTCGGAAGGATCGATCGTGTACTGACCAAATTGCTACATTACGGATCATTGTGGAACAATCAATTGAATGGAACTCACCACTCTA